ATGGAAAAATCTGGAAACAGTGTAGTGTAGCTTAAATTGAAAACAGTAAACATAAATATAATTATTACTCTGATTTTCTGTAGTATCCCAAAGCAGGAAGTATAATTTGTTAATTTTTATTTGGGAAACAACTAGTCACTATAAATCATCTTGTGTTCCCTTCAGGACCCACTTCATGCCTGGTCCCTTCCTGTGTGTGTTTCCCTAAAGCTTGGGTATTGTCCCTTCTGGATGCTGGGAATGATTACTGTCTTTCTGACTGTATAACTGGGCCCTTCTCAGATGTTTCGTTACACTTCTTTGAACTGTTTATAGCTTGCTGTTTTAAAAAATTTCAAATATATATCAACTTCTTTTATGGCAGGTGCTGTGATGTATGCATTTCTTTGATTCTTCTACAATCCTTGCAGATATTCATTACTTTCACATATTTTTCCATAACTATCAGTATAAAGTCCAGAACTACATTTTTAAAAAAGAACAAAAATTATAAGTCCTGTTTTTAAATCATGAAGATGCTCAGAAGAAACAATGAATTGTTCTCTTATTATCAAGAAACCATCTTGAGTAAAGTGGAAAAACTAGAAGGATTAGAAATCTGTTAGTGGAAAGGAAAAAGGAAATGTGGAGCTGGATATTGATCTTGCCAAATGAAGCAATGAAAGAAAATATTACGTTGTGAATTTCTTTCCTTTATTTTCTCAAGTACATTCCAGCAACTCAGATTAAGAGAACAATGGCTGAGGTGCTGGAAATAAATCCAACCCATCTGATAAGTCCATAGGAAAGAGGAAATAACAAAATTATTGAAAAGAGGAAAACGTCTCCTTAGAGTTTCAGACACTATTTTTTAAAAAATAAAACTAGTTTTTTGAAGCATAATGTATTTCTTATATAATTAATAATATATATTATACATGTAATACATGTTGTATTTCTTTCTTTTTAAAAAAAAATGAAAACTGTGGGAGAAGCCAGGTGTGGTGTTGTGGTAATCTTAGTATTCAGGAGGCCAAGGCAGGAAGATCAGAAGTTCAAGGTCAACCCGGGAAATTTAACAAGTTCAAGGCCAGACTAAGTTACATAGAGAGTTAAGGATTACCTAGTGAGAACTTGTATCTAAAAAAAAGTAAGCTCTGTGTGTAAAATTTTATTGTTGATTATCTGTATTGGTAGCTTTTTTAAAGAACAAAACATTTTGTTTATATAGGAAAAAGAAGTTTTCACTTTGATTAATGATTCATCTTTTAGAATAGTTTTCAGCTATAGCATGGAGTTTCCATGATGCAGTGAAAGTGCAAAGAATATAAGGATCTCAAGGCTTGACTTTAAAATTTATTCTTTTCCCCTCTCCCTCTTCCTTCTATCTTCAAACATTTATTAGGAATACCAGATGAACACTGAGATGATTTATCCTTGCAGGGTGCAGAGAGTCAAGAGAAGAGAACATCAGGCAGTTGTAGAACCCTGGGCTAGTTGCTACTGTCCTGTTGCAGGCATATGGCATTGTGTAAGCCCATCAAGAGGTGGAGGTGCTGCCTCATCACCTGAGCTCCTACCACCTGTGCCATTAATCTGTTCTACCTATTTCATCAGGTAGTATAAGGTTCAGACAGGACCATCCTCTGTATTGTGAATTGTAACAATACTTGCAAACATAAATAGTTACAGGCAATAAGATACTTGATACAAATGGGAATACCTTGTGACTTTGATGTGTAGAAATTAAAAAGATACTAACATGAGTAAAGAAATTATTTGTTCCCTAATGTAAAATCCAGAACTTTCACCTTTTTTGAAATCTCCCTTCGTTCATTGTGGAAATAAATCTTTATTAATTAGTGCTTCCACATTACCTCCTTTTCATAATTCTCTTTCTGTACTTCATCATTGTGTAGTCATGTGTCTACATTTTTATCTTCTTCACTATACTGATGAGAATTGAGAGCACGGTCCGTTTTGTCATCTTCATGTTACCAGTGGTAATCATCTCTAGTAGTACTTCCATGTGTTTGTTACATCCGAGAAGGATTTTTCCAGTAAAGTTTTCCCCACAAGATTTCTTTGTTTACTAACCAAAAGTATGATTTTCTTTTGTATATTAAATAAAATATGAAGTCATATAATAATAAAGAATTCTGGGTGTTGTATGCATCAGATTAGGAACTCTTAATGTGGCCCATCCTACCTAGGGTCCAGAGGAAAGGAGGAGAAAATGAGCAGTAATATAATCTTGTAAGCTCTCTAGGTTGCTCAGTGCAGAAAATGTTAGATATTTTACCTTTCTTCACTGCCAATGATTTTCAAATTTTTCTTCTCTGGACTTCAAATTTTCTTATCTGTAGAATAAGGGAATTATACCAAAGCATCTTAAATATCCCTTCTAGACCTATGATTCTATTTGGAGATTTATGGTTGTTTTGTTTAGTTTTGCTTGTGTGGGTTTTCTTTGTAAACAACTATATAAAATATACTGAGTAATATGGAAATACTCTGCATTGTGTAAAGTAATTCACCTGTATTTTCCCCATATTTTTATTACAGACAACATTATCAAGAAAACACTAAGAAAGCCAGAACATTCAGGAGATAGGACTTATATCAAATGCAAAGGATTAAAGAGATAGGACAGAGGTGTGTGAGCTGATGGAAGGGCAAGGGGGAGTAGCCATGGGGATTGTGAGGAAGTGAAAGAGCTTGGTACTAAGGAGTATTGACAAAGTTTCAAGTTTGGATAAATAGGGATGGCTTGGAGTCCCTTCAAGAGTCCAAGTTTAGTTCTATATGCAACAGAAAACCATTTTCAGGCAGAAAGAGAGGACAGAGTTGTACCTGTTGCGTGTGATTGAAGGCTTGGCAAGGGAATGAAACTAACAAGGGTGAAAAGGAAGAGAAGAGGAAATTGCTAAAGACACAGCTGGCGCAGGGCTTTATTAAGTGAGGAGAAAGATTGGAATGGAAGCAAGTTATGAAAAGGAGGAGGGCTGATTTTGCCAAATAGTCATATCATTCAACGTGTTAAATGTTGGAAAGCAGGTTTACAGCTGGCAGGATATGACAGCTTGGCAAGCCCTTACATCTCCCGAGTATTTCTCATGACTGATAAAAGATTTATCTCAGCTGTCCAGTGTGGCTTGCAAAATGTTTATTAATGAGCTTGAGGAGAGATTTCCTATCTTTGTTGAAAACAGGTGTATATTTGAGAGTCTGTGAATAACTAAAAGGAGGGTTAATAATTCCACTTATATTAACAGCAACTCCTGATCCTCACTCTTAAAGAAAGGGCATATATGTCCAGAGATTTTCTTGTTATTGGAGATGTTTTTGCATATATACACTTTTTATTCTGCAGTTATTTTTTTCTTAGTGTCCTTTGTATTCCTTAATACTTCTTCAAGTTTTAGATTCTAGTAATTCTGCAGCATTATGCCATGAAGGAACATAGAAGACTGGCTTGACAGTGTTACCGACAATTTATACCAGGATGTAACTGTCTGGCATATTGGTCACTGTTTTACATTCTTTTGCAAAGTATGCCTTTGTTTAGTCTTGAGGGAATAGGCTTCTCTCATTTCCCGTACACTCAGGACATGGCTAATGACTGTTCTGCTTTGTGTGGAATGCAGTTGTTTGTATTTTCACATGGTTTACCCAATCACCTCTCCATTCTTTTTCCAAATTGATAGGTGTCTAATCTATAGTGAAAGATTGAGGCGTTTTTCTCATGTAATTTCTAACAAAAATTACATGGATTATGGCAGACAAATTGTGCCTTCTTCCCAGTTTATCTCATTTATTTTTACAATCATGCAGTCTGTTTTTGTACCATATGTAGCATGTCATAGAAGGCCTGGTTAATTAGATAATTTCCTTGAAGTTATAAAATCCTTTTCTAGCAATATGCCTTTGAAGTTAAATTTTTTTTGTTAGAGCCAAATATAGTATCTTTATAATTTTGTATTGCAGTTGCACATGGTAATTTTAAATGCAGCCTATGTCTTCATTACATAAAATAGGAAACTTTTCATCCACCCTGAGAATTTAAATAGTACATCTGTATACATGATACCTAGAAGAATTTTAATACCATTACTTAAATATGTTGATGCTTTCTGGGGAAAGTAATCAATAGCCATAAAAGGCCAATTTTATATTTTTAAAGTTGATTCTTTAAAAAAGAGAATACATTTTAGGGATTATAATACTGTATCCTATTAAAAATAATTGTGTGTGTGTGTGTGCGCGCGCGCGCATGTATGCATGTAGCCAACTTAACACAATTTGATATCTGGGCACCTTCTCTTCACCTGATTTGTGATTAAATCTTAGCTCTCTGGAGAAGGTGATACCCCAACCTGTTACCATTTGAAGCAGTGGTTTGTGTAGTATATCAGGGTAGTCACAAAGATAGCCACAGTTCTGAATGGAATTTCAATCCAAGGCAGCTCAAGAGAGTGGATATAGTGACTCTGAATTATCCCAGCTATGAAGAAAGAAGTTATAAGGACTATATTTTTACTCTTAATTTCCTTGTATCTGTGATTCTCCAGTTTTAGAAAGGCAGTGAATACTGACTTTTTTCTCTTTTTTATTTAGCATTAAACTATTTTGAATTAATTCAGAGTTTAGAGAAGTTGCAGAAAAATTTATACTCTATGGTTGAGAAAATTGAATTAGACAAAGACAAAGATGGTGCTCAGTAGATATTTACTGACTGGTAAGAGAAGGAAATGAAACTGGAGTCTTGTGATTCTTTGTCTTGTGGCATTTTGACTCCCCTTTACATTTCCCAAGGTTAAAAGTTCACTCTTTTAGGTATACATGATATACAGTATGTTGCTCTTTGGTAGGTGTAAATTGAGTAGAGCCTTTGATGTTTTACTAACTCTCTGTTATTGATCAATAACCATGTGGTGCAGAGAGAAAAGACATTTGCCAACACAGTAAAGTCTGTAATGCTGATTACTGTTTATTGATCTAAGTCATTTTTATCTTCACAGAAATTGGCCCAGTGACAATTACCACAGATCCCAAGAAATTTCAATATGAACTCAGAGAACTATATGTTCAGGTGAGACTTGATTTCAATTTTCTTTTGGGGGAAAGGAAAACCATGCAACTTTCTTATTTTTTAAATCTGAAAGAAGTAATTGTTAGCGGCACAATAATTACCACTACGTTTTCCCACCTGAGTCCTGAACGAGTTCAGTGATAGACACTGGGATGGAACAGAATGGATTCAAAATAGCTCCTTCATTTCTGCATTTTTAAAGGATGCTTTTACCTGATCATGGGAGAGTTCTATATTTGTGACAGGGACTGTTCAGAAAAAGTTTGCTGAGCCCTGTTCTAATGAGTCCCTTCATCACTTGGAAAAGTAAGCAACAGATAATAATTCTTCTCCTACCAAATAAATGACATAACTAAGGTAATTTTAATTAATTTTAATTTAATTTTTACTCTAAACATACATTAGTTATGAGAGGAGAAGAAAACATTTGTTTAAATGTTATTCTGAAAGCAGAACTTTGAGGCAGAGTAGGCATGCACTGTCTCCTCGGTAACTGCTTACAGATTACCTTCAAATCCATTAATTTAAAAATTTAGCTTTTCTGAGGTTGTTTCGGTGTACTACCCTCCATGGTTTCTATTGCTGTCCTCTACAGACTCTTGGCTGTTTTCTGTCATTCATGTAGGCTATTTGTACTTGGCTTGTGATTTAATGGAAATGGCCTAGGCAGAGCAGTGAGCTGTCAGTTCCTTGATCTATTAGTCATCTTCAGTGACCTTTTCCTTTTGTTTCAGTCTTCTGTTCTCACACATTCTGGACCTGGCCAACATCCTCAGCTGCTTCTTCTCCCGTGTAATTGTTTCCTGCACCTTAATCTCCACCACCTGACTGTCCACTGAGAGTGTTGGTGCAACTTCTTGTGCCACATACCACATCTGCTCCGGTACACTCTCCAAGCATTCCAGTCCATTGACCTCAAAACTTTCTCCGGGGCCCACAGGTCTTTTCCTTTTTTCAGTTTCCCACAATCTGTTTCAGAGAGTTACCATTTTAAAACTCTCTTTTATCTCCTTTGTGCATTGCTTACTGTTCAAAAGGCAAAACCTCCTTCCTGAATGACTTGAACTATCCACATTATTCGTGCTTGCCCCTAGTGAAGAAATGCTGTTGACATCTCACACATGACAGACTGATTTCAGTATGAATTCATAACCACCTGTCTCAAATAGATTTTTAATGCTCCTGTGATCCTGTTATGTTTCTTTCATCAGTTAAATCTTTAATTTTCCTTAATCCCTATTGCAATTTTTCCACTCTTTTTACATTTTTCCTAAAACCCTCTTACTAGTGGCTATTTAAGCAAGTGATCCATTCCGAGCAAGTGACCTCACTTCTGTTTCACGCACAAACATGTACAAATGAAGCTCTTTACTTCCTCACACTTAACACACAGCTCACCTGTGTCTAGTGTCCATCCCATCATTATTCTCTACTTGTTCTAAATTCTGTGGCTTTCTCAGGATTTTAACACTATCAGATGGTTTCTCTCAATTGCTAAAGAGTTGTCATTGATTTTAAAATACAGTGGAGCCTTGACTTATGAACTTGATCAGTTCCTGAGGACTGGCTGTAACTAAGTCAATACAGATGAGATCTGGATGTTTACCTGGATACACACTATACATAACAAGGGGCAGATGAATCTTCCATTAATCTAAATAACCCAAGTTGTTTGTATGTCAGCCAGTTGTAACTTGAGAGTCCATTGTATGTTTGTCTCTCCAAAAAAATAAATAATCCAATCCCATCGTAAAAAGCGAAACAAAACAAACTACACATTTCTCAATGCCTTCGATGCCAAATAAATTGTGTTCTTTGCCATTATTTGTTCACCCCTAAGCCTTGTCATTTACTCCAAGATCTATTACAATCTAGTTCCCACTCATCTCATTCTGTCAGAATAGCTTTAGTTATGACAGATGACCTCTGTTTTGCTAAATGTAGACAGCATTTCAGTCCTCTTCATATTGGATGGGGATCTTTGAGGTCTTTGACAATATTAGCCTCTTCCTCTTTCTTGACTCTTTTTTTCCATATCTATTTTCTGATTTTTTATTTGGACTTTTTCTTCTTAACATCTCAGGAGTTTATTTGTTTCTACTTGACTCTTAAATGTTGAGGTTTCTCTAGGTTTTGGAATCCCCCCTGTTTTATATCTCATTAGGTAAAACCATCCATACCCACACGTACATGTTTTTCACCTTGGCCTATCCTCTGAGGAACAGCTCTGTTTTTGAATCTCTTGCTTGTCAAGATCACCCTCTAAAATGAAATACATGAGTGTTCCATTTCTGGACCCCCAGACTTGGTCCTTGACCCTCGGTCTTTGTCCTCTCTTTGTGAATGATGCCTATAGTATTCTGATAAACTATATCCAACCAAATATCTGATTTGTCCTCAATACATCCCTCACTTAATTCCTGAATCTCAGCTATCATTAGGTCTTGTTTTTCACCTTCTAAATACCTTTAAGTCATGACTTCTCTCCAGACTTTGATCTATAGACAAAAGAATCTCAATATACATATCTAAACATTTCTTGTCCCTTTACTTGTTCCTCATCAAATTCTCCCCATGGTTCTGTCTTTCCCTCATCTAATTCTTCCCCCTCAGCTCCACTTAGTGTCACTTTCTTCCCCAGGCTCTGTGCTGTGCCTCAGGGGGCCTACAGAGAACCCCCCCAATAGTTGTGTCCTCTCTCATCTTCTCATGAGATTTTTGTACATACTGTTCTCTTGTAGAGGGAAGGCCTGCCCTTCACTATCACTTTCATACCCCCTTACTGAGATTAAACTCGATCCTTGGAGTCTCATCTTGAATAGTATTTCCTTTATCCTCCAGCCTTGGTCCTATATCCTTACCTCCTTCCATCACAGAGCAGTTGGGGCTTCATGGTAAGGGACTCTGATTTAGCCCATCATTAAGTTCTCTAGAAAAATGCTTGGCAAGTAGCATATATTCATTTTTTAATGAACAAATGAATGAATGAATATATGAGAATGTACAAATTAACAGAGTTTAAATCAAAGTTTGAAGTATAAGACCTGATTGGTTTTATTGTTGGATGAATGATTTGATTTAGAACTGTACATTGCAAAAGCATAATTGAGGAACTGGATTTGAAACCAAAAGTTTGATATTCCAAACCTGCATTTAAGCATGATTCTGTTTTGTGTATATCTTTCTTTAAAAATTATATACTGAATTTAGGTATATTGAGTTAATATGCAAACATATTTTTAGAAATATCCCTAGACTATTTTCTTTTTCTACTGAATTTCTCCTGATAATCTTTCCCATAAACAGTTTTCCACTTCCTTTCTCTTATATCACATCACTATTTTTTAGTCATGATCTTGCTACTTATTTGTTATTCACCTTTCTTTCCTCCAGTATAAGAAATTCTTTGCCACTTTGAATATCTAGATTCTCAGAAAACAAACAAACTCATTTTAGAAATTTCTATATTGTGTGTGGCTCATGGAAATGAGAAATTGTGTTGTGTTGTTATTTAACTGTTCATGGGCCCCTTGTCTACTGTGAGTTCTTGAGGGCAGGGGCCTTGTGGCTCTCATTTAGCCACTGCTTCATCTAGGGAGAGAAACCAGTGTCTATAATAGCTGTTAAAGAAAGGAATGCCATTTGATGTGGCTTCTTTAAAAATGCACATTAACAGTAAACTGTATAAAATACAATTTATACTTGATGGTTCAAAGATACCTCAACAACATAACCAGTTTTCATCAAATTATAGAGATTCAGAAGGGCCAAGTCATGAAGATTTCTAGTTAATAGAATGTTACGAAGGGGTTTACTATGCTTATTCATTCTTTTTTCTCTGAGAATGAAGCTGTACTATATTTTTGAATATCTGACTGGATTGAGAATGCCCACATTCCCAATGAGACATTGCTCTGTCCTTCCTGATTTCTTGCTTCTCCCTTTCTTTTGCTCTGAAGGATCTTAGAGAGTGTGAACCCTTTCTCCGTTTGTCTCTGGGGTGAAGGATCTCAATTGATTCCTGATTCATATTCCATTGATTTTCTTTCTAGAGCTCTTCACTGCCATTCTCTGGAATTGAATCTGATGCAGACAGTCTATAGGGTCATACTTTTATTCCTTTAAAAAAAATCTTTCCTGGGACTGAAGTTGGTATCCTTTTTTCTAGAGGTTTCATCTGGCCAACCTGCATCTTTGCTTTGTCCTGAGATCTAAAAGGGGCTTAATTAGATCATCCAGTTGAGAAAGAAATCAAATGTTTATTTTTTCTGCATTCAACATTGGACTTGTTTTAAATATTGGGGATACCATGCAGTGGTTTTACTTTCTAGGTTTTCAGTGAATTATTCTTTCTTAAATCAATGGCACAAGGATCAAATATTTAAAAAGAAGCTAGGCTATATGAGCACTTAATGCTTGAATTAAGAGATTGTATCTTATTATTTTCTTAGAGAATATTTTATTATTTCATAAATCAGCATAATTAAACTTTATACATTCATAAAATTTTAGTAGGAGATGATGAATTTTGTTTTGTATATGATTCCCTGATCCTTTTACTCCCTCTTCTACCATTTTTATTAATTCTCCCAAAATTACTGGTATCAAGACTCATGAGCATTGCTGCGCTAGTAAAATTACTTGGGATTTTAGCTGTATGTGGTGGGACACAACTGTGTTTGTAGCATTTTGGGAAGCTGAGGTAGGAGGACCACAAATTCGAGCCCAGCTTGGGCAATTTATAGACAGTGAGACCTTATCTCAAAATTTTTTTAAAAAAGGAAGAGCTGGGGATGTAGTTTAGTGCAAAGGCCCCGGGTTCAATCCCCAGAACTGTGAAAAACAAACAAACATCTATCTTGGTTAAAAAAGTAAAAATTAAAAATGTTTCTTTCACATTTATATTAGTTTTGAAAACAAGAAAAGTGAACATAGTTGGAAGTAAATTAAATAATTCATTAACACATTTATTAAGATTACATCAGGCTTGTTACTTTTCT